TCAGTACTGTAGAAGACAACTCGTACGGGTTGAAATTTCGTCTGGGACGCTTACATAAGGCTCAATCACTATGGGTTTTGTCTGGAAGGGAAGATAACGCAGAATCAACTGCTATCTAATAGCCAGTCTTTTTACAAAGTCGTAGCGCCTACCTCCTATGCACGGTGGTCGTACGTTTTTCTACTATCATATTTTAATAGGGCCTTCTGTCTGAGAGAAATCAGTTGTCTCAAGTTAATTTGTCCCGTTACAGCCTATTTTTACCCAGATGGTTTCAACATCAGAAGTCTACATACTTACCTCAACGAAACAAATTTGTTTTAATTACTCGGCCAGTCACCTACGAGGTCGCTGTTTGCATTAAACGGTGTATTTTAATTTCAGCAATGGTGCTTTCGCACTGCCAGGATAAATGGCATGTTTCCCCAGCTCACTAAACCCAACCTTTCCCAGTCCTACAAACGGTACCAAAATTGAGAAGGAGACAACTCGATTGCTGGGACAATACTTTTTATTCGTCTGACGTCTCGAGATCCGTCGCGGATTCGTCATCAGAAGCATAGTCAGATAGCAGTACCAGAAAGGGTAGCGTATGCACAGGAGCTTTGCAGTATTTATATCTCTGATGATGACTCCGCGACGGATCTCGAGATGTCAGGCGAATAAAAGTATTATTCTAGCGATCGAGTCGTCTTCTTCTACTCACTTACTTCCTGGGACTCGCATGTTCGCTTGTATTGTACCAAAATTGTTCACACGCCTACATCGTGAAATTTCGCCCGAAATTCTGGCCCATGTTTTAGATTTCAACGAATTACTTAAGCTGGTTTGTAATATTTATTATCATACAGCTTACTTTCAAGGTTTTTTCAGTCACGTCACCATGCCGACTTTTCAGCGAGCTCCTGACTGAGAGCCTGCAAAAGGCACACTTTAAAAGGGACTACTTAAGTAGTTTGCAGTTTATCCTTGATTTTCGATGCCTTGATAAGTTAAACTATATTTTATAGAAAGCATGCGCAAACATTTTTCCTTATTGTACTCGTACGGTAAGAAGTTAGGCTTCCTGCAAATTTTATACTTGAAGGAAGATTCGGCAAAAGTACTGCACCTCCTAATCCCCCAGTCCCAGTTTTTTGTCCTACGGAAACGGTGGTTATAGGGGATTTTGGGGTGGGGATAAAGGATAAGCAGCTTAGGAAATTTGTAGAAGTGTAAAATAGAAAAAATTGGTTAAAATTTGTTCCCACGGCCATTGGGAATAAATTGTTCCACATGTAAATTGAGAGTGTGCGCAGCGCTTCGCACCGCGGACTATGCTAACCTAACTCCGGAACGGTAAGGTGGACTTCAGGTAAGTTGAAGTAGACGACCTCGTAACCACCATTTCAATTTTTTAGGCATTTTAGGAAACCTGCATTTTTATAATCAGGTTTTTCGGCAATACCTTAAATGATAATACAGCTTAGGAAAATCTACGGATATACATCAACAATCCTTCTAAATACAATAAAATAAAATGCATGTAGTAGTTATTAAAGTATATTCGTCCGCCTATCCTAATGCCCACCCATAAAACTCCTAAACTACCGTTTCCCTAGAAAAAAATGCTGGGACTAGGGCTATCCGAGGTTCACTACTTAACTACTGTTGCCGAATATTCAAGTTGAGTTTTAAACAGAAGCTTTTTAAATTGCCCTATACTTTTGAAGCCTACCGGCAGTTACATTTGCATGTAAGATTCACAAACTATACACCGTAGTTGAATGCTTATTCATGGACATTATTATCCGAGCGGAGCTTGTTTACTTAGGAAAGCCAATCGACTGGTGTGCACATATTTCTGTTTAAATATATGCTGTATACATGTTTTTAAGAAAAAACACTCCTTAATGGTGCTGATACAATTTTAAAATGGGTGTGGATCATGTTCTATACTTTATAGACAACATTTATAAATTGTCGGAGTGAAAAAAATCGCATAATTAGAAACTTTTTAAAACGGAAAGTTACCCCTTTTTCAAGCACGAAATCTGTAGAAGACGCTTTCCTACTAAACGAGTACAGTAAAGGAAATATTGTCGCATGCATCGAAAATCGAGTAAGAAAATGCACTCTACTTAAATAGCCTTTTATTGTTGTGCGCGTTTTTGGATTATCAGAAGGACGCTCGTTTAGAACCCGGCATTGTGACGTGATGGACATAGCTTTAGTGAAGGCTCTACGCTATTCAATTTTACAACCCGACTTGAGTCCTCTTTTTCGACTCAAAAACGTTTCACAATCTCGGTTGACATTTCCTGAGATCGGAAATCTACTGTCCTACGAGATGACAGCAAAGTGTTCTTCTCTCAACTGTGTGATAAGAGCTCAGCAGACGGCATACACGAACTCTAGCATACTTGCATGTAACATTGACTAAATTTCTGCATTTGTATTTCTCCTTTAACAATCTTGAAGGGACCCTCGAGACCCGCAGAAAGTTTCAAGTTAGTTTTTCCAAATGTCCTAGTTGTATAAGATTCACGCAGTTTGGGAGAGCAGAAGAGTCTATGGGAGTAGACAGCTGCTTGCAAAGTATCAAACAGTTTTCATCAATCCATTAGCGCATGAGAAGAGACTGGGGGAATCCTTTTGCATGCTCCAGGTAAGGGAGGAGCTTGGCTGTAATCTACAGCCACAATCTGGGTGTGAAAATAACAAGACAACGCCCTTTGCTTCACCCCTGCGACCGCCTTTTGTTGCAATTCTCGACCGGACTAGAATGCTACCTTACTGTTTTTATTACTGAGAATAACCAACCTGACCAACGAAACAGCCGCCTCTCGACGAAGATATCTATACCTAATAGTAATTAGTGATTCGGGTCGTTTGGTGCAAATACTTTGTTCAAATATCAACATATTGACGAATATGAGTTGAATTAGAGCTATTTTTTATCCTACCAAGTACTGAAAACTTAAGCACGTGATATTTTTT